TGGAACTGGAGGTGTTATGGACAGTTGTTAGCTGCCATGTGGGTGCTGGGATTCAAACCCAGGTCTTCTGCAAGAATAACCAGTGTTCTTAACCGCTGAGCCATCTCTCCAGCCCCTGTTATTTTTATTTTATGTGTATGAGTGTTTTGCCTGCATGTATGTGAGTGCCCCCGTGTCGTGCAATGCTGTGGAGGTCAGAAGAGGTCTTCGGATCCCTGGAACTGGAGTTATAAAGACTGTTGTGGGTGCTGGGATTCGAATCTGGGTCCTTTGCAAGAGCAGCCAGTACTCTTAACCATTGAGCCATCTCTCCAGCCCCTTATTTAAATTTCATTTGGGAGGGGATCTGCGTACAATTAAAATATGGCATATGAAATTCACAAAAAATTGATAAAAAAATGAAGAGAGGAAAATTTTTTCTTCATGTTTTATGTGTGTGCTATGTGTGTGCAGGTGCCTGTGGAGGCCAGAAGAGGGCTGGATCCTCTGGAGTTACAGGTGATCGTGAGCCTCCTAATGTGGGTGCTAGGAACTGAACTGGGTGTTATACAAGATCAAGTGCTCTTAACTGCTAAGCAGTCTCTCCAGCCCTTTTTTTTTTTTTTGGTCTTTCTGAGACAGGGTCTCCCTGTAGCCCCAGCTGTCCTGGAACTCACTATGTAGACCAGGCTGGGCTTGAACTCACAAAGATCTGCTTCCTTCCTTCCTTCCTTCCTTCCTTCCTTCCTTCCTTCCTTCCTTCCTTCCTTCCTTCCTTCTTTCCTTCCTTTTCTTGATTTATTTATGGGGCTGGGGAGATGGCTCAGCAGTTAAGAGCACTGACTGCTCTTGCAGAGGACCCAGGTTCGAGTCCCAGCACCTACATGGTGGCTACGAACCGTCCTTAACTCCAGTTCCAGGGGAATCCAGTGCCCTCTTCTGACCTCTGCAACATTACACGACACAGGTGCACTCACATACATGTAGGTGATACACTCATACACAGAAAATAAAATATTTTTAAAAAAGATGCGATTCTTCAAATTAAAAAAAAAATTTTTATTTATGTGTGTGTGTGAACCTGTATATGAATGCAGGTACCTGTCCAGGCCAGAGGGTTCTGAGGAGCACCGACACTAGGGGATTCCCTTCATGTGAAGCCCCCAGAGTCCAGATTCAGAGACAGAAGTCCTCCTGGGGGTAGGGGCAGGGGGAGGGGGTGGGGATGAAAATGGCGGCAGTTTGGGACAATGAACACATCCACCAGATGGAATCATGCTCACACATCGCTGCAAATGTGCTTAGAGCATCGAGCTACGCGCCTGGGGAAGGTGGAGGGGCATGGTGGCTCATACCTGCAGTCAGTCAGTCCCAGCTGAGGCAGGAGGCTAGCTTGTTCCAGGTCACCTGAGGCTAATAGCAAAACCCTGTCTCAAAACAAAAGAAGGGGCTGGAGAGGTGGCTCAGCAGTTAAGAGCACTGGCTACTCTTGCAGAGGACCCAGGTTCCGTTCCCATCACCCACATCAGGCATCTCACAACTGCCTGTAGCTCTAGTTCCAGGGGATCTAATGCCCTCTGGCCTCAGCAGGTACCTGCATTCATATGCAAGCGCGCACACACACACACAAATAAAAATGAATTAAAAAAATTAAAATAAAAGTTAAATGGGAAGTTCAGATATTCAGTTGGACATTTGAAGTGCTCAGTGGGGCACACGTTTCCACTGGCTGCCCTGTTGGACAGAGTGCATGAAGGACATTGCTATTCTGGAATGTTCTATTGGAAAATACACTGTTCTTGGTTAATGGTGAGTGAAGAGATAGAGTGATGTATCAGATAACAGATGTGGTTCTGGTTAGACCCTGTGCCAGATTTCCTTTTCCCCTCCCCTCCCCTCCCCTCCCCTTCAGTAGGTCTATCGCCTACTGAAGGCCCCCAAGATAGGAGAGGCAAGGGGTCCAGGAAGCCCCTGGGTATTCCTCTAAGCATCAGCAAACCCCTGCTTGAGTTAACACTTTTATCCATAAGATTCTGGGTCACAGGGAGTCTCGGGGGAGAGAGGGGGGGAGGGGGGAGGGGGGAAGGAGAGAGAGAGGGAGAGACAGACAGAGACAGCATGATACAGGAAACGGGTCAGCACCATGAATGAATGACTACATCCTGACCAGGATGGGCAAGGGCCCAAGGCAGAGGCAGTGGGGGCCCTGCCTGCTGGAGAGGGAGGGGGTGGCACGGTGTCTTGCTGAGGACAGCATTCCTGGGGGCTCTCACGCAGCTTCGCGCGCTCACTCTGAGCTTAGCTGAGGTTAGTGCTGTTCGTTTGTGATTCCGGCTGTCGTCTGTCCTAGTAGTTCCTTTGACTGGTAGTTGGTCCCACAGCCGTGTTCTTTGACTGGTAGAAGTCCCGAGTTGTGTTGGGTTGTGGGTACTGGCCCTTATCTCCTGAATGCTCCGTTCAGCTGGGTTCGGGGCATGAGATCTGCTCAGCAGGTGTGTCAGGAGCATGGGCCCTTTCCTTCTCCCTTGTGTTACTGTGGGCAGATGGGATTCAGACCTGGGGCTGCTGCCTCTGCTGCCTGTAAGCTGCTTTTACAGCTGGTTTCTTCCAGGACCCTGGAAACCAGCCATCCTATCGCCTTCACCTCCATCCAGAGCTGACCTGGAGCTTGGCTGTGGGGATGGTGCAGAGAGGAGGGGACCAGGTGGATGCTTTATCCGTCCTTTCCTGTCACCTCCCACTGCGTCTGGCATAGGCCAGTCTCCATAGCCGGTGGCCGGTGGTTCCTGGCTATTGGCTTTGCCACTTGTGAAGTGCTAGGCAGTTATACACTGAGAGGAGTTGGGTGTACGAATGCATATACACACATGAATGTGCACTTGTGTGAGGTGCTGGGCTGACTTGAGGCCACTGTGTTTGGTCGCTGGTGTGACCACCAGCACTGGATGAAATGGGTACATCTAGCTGTGCCTTAGATGGTCATGACGTCACATGGGAACCAATCTGAATGGAGGACGGTGCTTCCCTGGGTGTCCTACTGCCTGCTGGGAGAGGCTGGGGACCTGCAGTGGTTCTCAGCTCCAGCTTTACCCCAGCCCACCTCCCAGCCTGGGATGGGGTTTTCTCTGTGTGAGCTTGCCCTTCCCTCAGTCTGGGCTGGCACACAAGGCAGGAACTCTCGGCCGTTGAGATGGTGTTTTCCGGGATGCTGTCCCCTTACTGATTGCTCCTTCTCTCCCTAGTTCCTGTGTTTGAAGAACATCCGTACCTTCCTCAAAGTCTGCCATGACAAATTTGGACTGAGGAACAGCGAGCTGTTCGATCCCTTCGACCTCTTCGATGTCCGAGACTTCGGAAAGGTGAGTGGGCTTGGGAGCTTGTGTGGGCTTGACACACGTATGCTGGGCTATGTGGGCACCACAGGCTGACCCTCCAACCCTGTGTTGGCTGGACTGTGTCACAGATAGGAAGGTGGACTCATTGGTGGCTTCCTGATGAGCGTGGGTTCAGAGTGGAGGGGTCGGGTGCCACCAAAAATATTGATGAGTCATTTTTAAAAAAGTATTTTATTTATTATTTTTATTTTATGTGCACGAGTATATTGCCTGCATGTATGTGAGTGCACCCGTGTCATGCATTGCCACGGAGGTCAGAAGAGGGCTTTGGATTCCCCCGGAACTGGAATTAAGGACAGTTTGTAGCCGCCATGTGGGTGCTGGGAATTGAACCTGCGTCCTCTGCTAGAGCAGTCAGTCCTCTTAACTGTTGAGCCATCTCTCCAGCCCCTGATGCATCACTTTTTAAATCAATTTTTTTATATGGGGTTTTGGGATAGGCTCTCATGTGGCCCACGCTGGCCTTGAACTCCCTCGGTAGCCGGGGATAACTTGAACTTCTAATTCTCTTGTCTCCCTCTCCCGGGTGCTGGGATTACAGGTGTGCACCACCATGCCTGTTCAAACCCAGCTCTTCATGCATGCCAGGCAAGCACTCTACTAACCGAGCTATGCCTCCAGCCCTCAGCTACTCCTTTGAAACCAATAGGATCTATAATTCCTTTGGGTGGGGAACCAAGAGCTTCAGTTCTGACTTGTAGCCTAGCTAGTTCCACATTGAGCTCGGCTGGCACCGGCTATGAGCTAGCCACATCCACCGTGGCCTGACTGCCCTGAGGGACTGGGTGTTTGAGGAAACTGCCCTTGACTTCAGGATGTGAATGGCAGAAAGGGGCCACTCTGTGACTCCCTGTACAGGGCCAGTTTAGTGTCCCCATTTAGGACTAGGACCTTAGGAAGCCTCTTCTACCCTGGGATTCTCCTTTTCAGAGCCTGTCTCTATGAGGGTCTAGATCTTACAGGTGTCTGTCTGTCTCTCTTTTAGATAAGGTCTCATGTGGACCAGGCTGGCCTTGAACTCACAGAGATCCACCTGCCTCTGCCTCCTGAGTGCTGGGATTAACGTTGTTACTACCACTTCCAGCCGGTCTCTTATGTTATGCAGTGGAATGCTCAGAGGTCCTTACTCCAGGACAGTACAGGGATTTTGATGCAATGTGGTGCACACAGAGGGCTGTGCCTCCCTCTGCCTGGGGCACAAGCCCGTGAGGTGTGGATGGTACCTTGCCCTGTGAGTGGCTTCCCCATTCTATACACCTGATTGGGATGCTCACTTTGTCTTGTTCTTAGAAAGAGCTGAGATGGGTTTACCCACAGCGCTCTGCAGGGAGAGCTGATGGTCTAGACTCTGGAGAGTGCTGTAACACACACACACACACACACACACACACACACGCTCATAGTCAAGTTTTCATGTGTACCTCTGTACATACAACTCACACAGACACATTTGTACACTCACCACTCATCTGCACTACACAGTCATGCATTCACACACCTGGTACACACCCACCTTTCCCTAGAACACGTATAGACTCAGGTATTTTCTCACATTCCTACACCCATGGACATGCTACAGTTTCTCTTTCTCTTCTCTCTCTCTCTCTCTCTCTCTCTCTCTCTCTCTCTCTCTCTCACACACACACACACACACACACACAGAGCTGGCTTTAAAAACAATCACAGAAAAAGATAGGGAAACTCTTGCCAAACCCATGTGCCCTCCAACAGCTCAGTCCCAGAGTGTTCTGTATATAATTTCATATAATTTCATTTTGCTTTCAATTTGCTATGGTGGAATGCATGATGTAAGATGCACATAAATCTAGATTAAACTCCCATCATACCATCAGCCAACTGTGTGGTCAAGCAGTTTGCGGAAGGGTCATCGTTCGTCAGCAATTTTGACGGGGAGGCGGCTCTGGCTGTGCGGTGCACTGTGCCCATCTCACATGGAGGTGGAGGGGCCACCCTGGGGCTTTTCACCTTGGCCTCTGGTCCTGAATCAATGTGACGGCCACTGGCAGTGCCCCAGTGTATGCTTGTGGGAAGTGGGACTGGATGGTAGCGTTGGACCTTGAGTCACAGGGTGGAGTGCTGGGGCTGTGTAGACCCGGTGGCCGAGCCTAGGGTGGGGTCCTCAAGTGGTTCCCTGTAGGAGCTCATATGGCACTACCCTGGCCTGGCCTCTTACTGCTTCATTCTTTCTAATCCTGAGGACAGACTGACTGGGTGAACCAGTCTCCTCTGCACCCTAGCTAGGTGACCAGGTATTTGACCCAGTGCCTCTGGCTGATGATGTGTGAGACTGTGGAGGGTGGTGTGCTGGATAGTTTTAATGTCAACTTGACACACCTGGGTAGAGGGAGCCTCGTTTGGGAATTGCTATTCTTGGACGGGCCTGTGGCCATGTCTGTGAGGTATTTTCTTGATTGTTTAGTGATATGGGAGAGGCTGGAGTGATGTGGGAGGGCCCAGCCCACTGTGGGTGGTGCCACCCCTGGGCAGGTGGGCTTATGTTGTATTAGAAAGTAGGCTGAGCAGGGGCCAAGGGAGCAAGCCAGTAAGCAGCGTTCCTCCATGGCCTGTGCTCCAGCTCCTGCCTCCAGGTTCCTGCCCTGAGTTCGAACCCTGGGCTCCCTTAGTGGATGAACTGTAACCCTAGAGATGTAAGCTGAATAAACCCTTTCCTCCCCAAGTTGGTGTTGGTCAGAGTGTTTTGTCACAGCATTGAAGAACAAACTAAGACAGAGATTGGTACCAGAAGTGGGGTATTGCTGTGACTGACTGACCTTGGTGTTTTGGGAGGACTGTGGAAGTGTTTGGAACTTTGGGCTGGAAAAGCCATTGCGTGCTCAGTTTGTTGCAGTGGAGCTTGGAACAGTTATGCTGAAAGAGTTGTAGACAATGGAGGCCTGGCTTGTAAAGCTTCAAAGGGAAGCGGAGACCATCAGGGCTTTCATGTGAGATTTTGTATTGAGAATCTGGGTTCTGGTCGGCTGGGGCTGTGATTAAGAAGAGACCAGAACCTGAAGCAAAACCTTTGCTTTACTGGGACAACTGATGCTGGTTAGCTGGGGTTGAAAAATCAGCTGTAAGTAACAAGAGACCAGCATCACTGAAGTGAAATCTGGGAGGTATTTCCTCAGGGTCAGCACACAGACGTTATGGTCCAGAGGGGGCCCAAGGTTCTATCTCTAGTTGGAAGCAGTACTTGGTCATGTGTAAGAGTCTCCTGCATGGCTCTGGTGTTGAAAGCGTGAAGGGGTCACAGAGAGCAGCCGAGGCTTGGCACTCTGAGAGGCCAGGAAAGGCCATAGGTGAAAGTGCAGCTTCAGTTGCAGCGAAGACCCCAGGATTGAAGGGTTCATGGGGAGAATCTGAGGCTTTGCACCCCGAGAGGCCAGACGAGCCCATTGGTGAAGGTGCAGCCTCAGTTTCAGTGGAGACACGAACTTTTTGGCGATGCGAGGGCCATGGGGCAACCACCAAGGACAGCAGTAAGTGTGGAATGGAGCTGGCCTGCGCCTGTGAGATGAGGTGTGTGTGCTGTGGACGTTAGAATCAGAGAAGTGGAGCTGCCTAGGCCCTTTGGAGCCCAGAAGATCATGAGTGAATCCCAGATGTCCAGCCTCGAGCTACTTTTCTGGGCTAAGATTTTGCCTAAGTGTGCCTGATTCTTCCCTTTGAAATAAGATAATACTTTAAAAAATACTTTATTTATTATTTTGATTTTGTGTGTATGTGTGTATTGCCTGCATGTATGTAAATGCACCCACATCGTGCAATGCCTGCAGAGGACAGAAGAGGCTGTTGGATCCCCTGGAACTGGCGTATAGACAGTTGTTAGCTGCTATGTGGGTGTTGGGATTCAAACCCGGGTCTTCTGCAAGAACAGCTAGTCTTGTTAACCACTGAGCCATCTCGCCAGCCCCAACAGTACTTGTTTTTAATTTTGCAGGAGCCCACAGTTGAGAGTGACTAAAAAAACTTTATTATTTTTATTTTGTGTATGTGTGTATTGCCTACATGTAGGTAAGTGCACCCATGTTGTGCAATGCCCACGGAAGTCAGAAGAGGCCGTTGGATCCCCTGGGACTGGAGTTACGGACAGTTGTTGTTAGCTGCCATGTGGGCGCTGGGATTCGAACCTGGTTCTTCTGCAAGAACAGCCAGTGTTCTTAACCGCTGAGCCATCTCTCCAGCCCCACAGTTAAGACTCTTTTTTTTTTTTTGGTCTTTTTGAGACTTTTGAAAGAGACTTTGGGGGCTGGAGAGATGGCTCAGCAGTTAAGAGCACTGACTGCTCTTGCAGAGGACCCGGGTTCGATTCCCAGTACCCTCATGGTGGCTATGAACTGTCCAGTTCCAGGGGAATCCAAAGCCCTCTTTTGACCTTCGTGGCATTGCACGACATGGGTGCATTCACATACATGCAGGCAATACACTTGTACACATAAAATAAAAATAATAAAAAATAAAATATTTTTTAAAAAATTAAGAAAAAAGAGACTTTGAACTTTCAAAGTGTTTGAGTTTTTTTAAGGACTGTGGAACTTCTAAAATTGTACTGTTTTATGTTGTGATATTAACATCGTACCTTGGGGATAAGAAATGGAAAGCTTGTGGTTTAATAGTGATGTGTTTGTGTGTCAAGTTGACAAGGGGTCAGTTGTGCTGGATAGCTTTAGTGTCAACTTGACACACATAAGTAGAGGGAGCCTCAACTGGGGAATTGCTTCCAGAGGACTGACCTGTGGCCATGTCTGAGGGGCATCTTCTTGATTGTTGAGTGGTGTGGAAGGGCCCAGCCCACTGTGGGTGGTGCCACCCCTGGGCAGGTGGGCCTGTGTTGCATAAGAAAGCAGGCTGAGCAGGGGCCAGGGGAGCAAGCCAGTAAGCAGCGTTCCTCCATGGCCCGTGCTCCAGCTCCTGCCTCCAGGTTCCTGCTCTGAGTTCCTGCC